GTGTGTGTGTGTGTGTGTGTGTGTGTGTGTGTGTGTGTGTGTGTGTGTGTGTGTGTGTGTACGTGTGTGTGTGTGTGTGTGTGTGTGTGTACGTGTGTGTCGGTATGTCTGCATGCATGCATGTGTGTGCATGTGTATGGTCGAGAACGAATAAAGCGCAAGGAATGCGTACTCTGCGGGTTGTGGAAGACAGCCTTCTTGCATCCTTCCAGTGGGAATCCCATGCTGGCAAGCTGCGTCACCATGCCTTCGTCAAGTTGCACTGCAGCAGCCACCACCGACATGGCCATGGTGAGACGCAAACGAGCGAGACGCGGAGCAGTGCATTTCAGATGACAGAAACGAACACACCACGACACACACACACACACACACACACATACACACAAACATACACACACACAAAAACATACACACACATACACACACACACACGCCACCACTATGACTGCGTCTGTGCACCAACCACCCACCCACCCTGCTGCTGCTGCTGCTGCTCTGCTGGTTCCTCTGGCAGGTCCTCGTCGCCCTCCTGTTTGCCTTTCGAGCGGAGATGCGTCACATCAAGCTCGTCCGGCACATGCAGCGACATGTCTGCAACGCAACACAACGCGTTGTGTGTGTGTGTGTGTGTGTGATGGATGGGTTGATTGTGAGCAGGTTGGTCAAATGTTAGAAACTGATGATGACCGAGTGCACAAAGACGACGGCCAACAACAGTCATAACACACACCACACGGTTACGCGTGGCCCACACCACCAGCGCGCCAACACATCAGCGCACCGAGCTTCTTTGGTGTCCAGTCGTCGCCGAGGTAGAACTTGTTCACCGCAACAACAAGATACTGACGTGGCATACACGGGCAGTGGTGGTGGTGGTGGTGGTGGTGTCGTGGACAAAGGGGGTCGAGGGAGGTGAGGTGCAGGATGGTGACACGTGCGATGAGGTGGTATTGGACACGCACGAACATGAGCGAGCGTGCGTGCGTGCCCGCGTGCGTGCGTGCGTGTGGATGTGTTGACAACTGCTGGCAGTAGCGAGTACCACCACTAGGCCAACACATCAATACCTTTGGGAAAGTCTTGAACCCCTGCGTCTGGGTGCATGACGTCTTTGCCTGGATGGCGGGGCTGTACCAGTCCTCCACCTGCTGCGGCTGGAACGACGCCTCAATCAGCGCCGACAGATCAAACGCAGGCCGAACCACAGGCTCGTCCTGTCTCCATACGAAGCGAAGGGGGGGGGAAGAAGGGTCGTTATTGAGGTGCATGAAATAAAGGGACAGCGCTGCAATGCATAAGAATGGTCCAATGCATAGGATGGCAGAACCAACACAGGTTGATGAACAAAGGATGCACAGGCACACGCAAACACAAACGCAGATACAAACCAACAAACACAGACGAACACAGACGAACACAGACGAACACACGTCACCATACACCACCACCACCACCACCACCACCACCACCAACCTTTGCGGCGTCGCCTGCGGTTGCTGTGCGGGCCTTGTATGCGTCGTACTCGTCCTTGTTGGTCATGAGCTCCATGGTGACGGGGACAGCGAGGTGGCCCTCCTGGTGGGCCGACAGTCGCACCTTGTTTGACGCGTTGCAGCGCACCAGCTCCTCGACGTCAAACGAGAACAGCGTCGACACGTCAAGCTCCTTCTCCTTGCGCGCGTCCTTCTGCAGCTTGTCCATCAGGTATGCCCAGTACTCCATCGCATCCTGCTCGCGGCCGCGTCACATCATACGTGTGAAGAAGCATCATGTGAGTGTGGTCATGTGTATGTACGTGTACGCTTGTGTGTATGTGTACGTGTATGTGTATGTGTATGTGTGTATGTGTGTGTATGTGTGTATATGTGTGTGTATGTGTGTGCGTATGCGTGCTCATATGTCACTCGAAGCCTGTCATCCCTTCTCCTGTCCATGTGTATGCCTGCAGGCCGTCGATCGATCCCCACTTCCCCTCTCACACGCTCTCACACGCTCCCCACCACACCCTTAACCACCACCTCGCCATCCCAAGCCCCCATAACCGTTCACACACCTGCTGCCTGCCTGACGAGAACTCTGCGTGTCCGCTGTTTGCGACGTCCTTGAACATGCGCGGCGTGATGCCGGGCGCGTCCTCCTCTTCGGCCGGCGGCGACGAGTAGTCGCCAGAGACAAGCCCGTACCCGACTTTGTGCCTGCACACCACCAGCACGGTGGGGGTGGGGTGGGGTGGAGTGTCAAGAACACATGATGTAGTGGATAAAGGGAGAGAATGAGACACTCATTGAACACAAAGGAGGACGACACCTGCCCACACACACACACACACACACACACACACACACACACACACGCACACACGCACACACACGCACACACACACGCACACACACACACACACATACACACACACACACGCCCTCCCTCCCGCCTCCCAAGCAGAAGCATGCCACGTACAGCTGGATGTTGAGGTCTGTGACGGGGTTGTCGACGTTCTTTGCGAGGAAACGGTCGAGGGCAGACGTGCCGTATGTGGCCGCCACTTCCTCCAGGCTGAAGAGCACCTGCAGCACCGTGTTCATGTAGCAGCTGCACCATATTGGGAGGTGGAGAGGGGGAGAAGGAGAAGCAATGTCAAAACGAAAGGAGGGATGGAGGTGACAAGAGAGCGGTGGTCCCATGAGCACGGTCAACAGCACAGAGCAGTCGCACCAACACTTGCAACACGACCACGACCACGACCACGACCACCATCCTCATCACGACCACGACCACAACCACGATCATCCCCACGACCGCGACCACAACCACCACTGCCGCACCTGTTGCCAAGGTTCTTCATGCCGGTGTGGCCTGGGCCGTATGCGGGCTCGAGGGTGACGCCCGACTCCTGGATGGCGTCAAACTCAAACTGCAGCCGCTCGTTCGCCTCAATCTCAAGCTCAGTCATCGTCTTCGCAGTCTGCACCGCGGCGGAGACAAGCACAAATACCACAGCGGTGGGGGGGGGGAGTGGTGAGGTGAAATTTGGGAGAGGGGGGGAGGGAACGTGTATTCGAATCATCGTTTGAGGGGCTCGCGTGCATGAATCACATACACACATGCAATAAGCGAACAATCCACGTGCTTCGAATCCGAACACACACACACACACACACAGACACAGACACAGACACAGACACACACATACACAGACACACAGACACAGACACACACCCCTTCTCAACGATGAAGGGTGGATGGCATGGCGCACCTTTTTCTGCTCGAGGATGTTGATGCCAAAGTGGGCGAGGTGCTTGTCAAGCTGCGGGTCAATCACCATGTCGTCCTCAGCGTACGAGTAAACGTCTGCGCCAGCAGCAGCGCCACAGTGGTAGGGTGAACGCAGCGTTACATTTGCTCGTCCATGTATGTATGTATGTATGTATGTATGTATGTATGTATGTATGTATGTATGTATGTATGTATGTATGTATGTATGTATGTATGTATGTATGTATGTATGTATGCATGTATGTGTGTGTGTGTGCACTCACTTGCAGGTCAACACATTTGGACAGCGAGAAACATCACCCTGCACATAACCATCAACCTGTACACACATCCACCTCATCTCCCCCTGCAACAGGGAACCCCCCCCCCGCAAGGGCTGCCCCCACAGAAGCTCCTACATCCCCGCCAGCACACAATGCGTTAGTTAGTTGTCATCACCTGCACCCTCTGGAGTTATGGTGCCGAGCTTGACGGCGAGCGGATACCCGGTCTCGTTGAAGTGATCCACAGCGTGGTTGTTCCCGCCACTCCCTACACACACACACACACACACACACACACACACACACACACACACACACACACACATGATGCGAGGACGTGAGCAAGTGTCATACGTGATGTCGCATAAGGACAGGCGCAGAGGTGCATGCACGTGTGTTGTGATTCGAAACGCGAATGAGTCACACGTGCTTGCATGCAATGTGTGTTGGGAGGACAGGTGCAAGCAACTGCATGCAGGCAACAAGTGCTGACCGTCGAAGAAGCGGCGGCCGCAGAGAATGGAGCCATCAGTCAGGTTCAACCACAGGTTGTCCGTGATGTCGCACTTCTCACACTTGTAGTTGCTGCAGTTTTGTTTGGTGTTGGTGGTGGCGACGTTGGGCGCCATGGTGGTGATGATGATGATGATATCAGACGTACTTCGCATATGTCACAATCGCCTTCCCCGCGCGTTTTCTCTTGCTTCCTCAGCCCATTCCACCCGTCTTACACGTGTCATGCATGATCCCACATCACTCATCGCCACCCTCTCTATTAATCGTCTCTTCTCCACAGGTGCCTGTGACAACATCGTGTGACGACAACGACCACGACAGCGACAAGACAGCAGCAGCAGCAGCAGCAGCAGCAGTAGCGTACCCTGGTGGCACCTTGATGCCGTTGTCGAGCTGGGCGAGGTCTGCTGCGTGCTTGGACACCTGCCGCTGCTCCTCCCACGCCGCCGTCTCGTCTTTGAACTGCGCAGAGTCAAATGCAACAATCGCAGCAGCACTCGCCTTTACCTGCAGTTGCAACAGTGACAAGGCGCGATATGGTGTGTTTGAGTGTGAGTGCGTGTGTGTGTGTGAGCGTGTGTGTGTGTGTGAGGGTGTGTCGATGGCAGAAAAGGGGAGAGAAACACATGCACAGAGGCAGACACACACGCACACAGACAGACAGACGCACACAAACACAAGCACATACACACAAACAATACACACACACACACATCACACATGACACACACACACACACACACAGGCACACGGACGTTGTCTGGGAGTTCTGGGCTGTCGAGAGGGTATTCCTTCATGTCGGGAAGAGTGACGACGGCGTACTCGTGGTGGAACTCGTACTTGTCGGCATCGTCCACGTCAAAGCCGCCTTCAACACCTTGCGAGCAACAACACGGTGATGGTATGCGCGCCAGCAGTGAGCTACGGTGACCAGGGCGAGTCACACACAAAACCACACAGACACACACACAACACAGACCCACACAGACACACAGACACACACACACACACACACACAGAACAGCACGAACAAGTGTGGTTGCGCGCATTGTACCGATGGCCATCTTGGTGGGTTTCTTCGCGGCATCGGCCTCGTCCTCCTCCTCGGCTGGCTTCTGCAAACGACACCAACAGAAACGGCGGGTGTCCAAATCTGTCAACTGTTGCGCAGCATGACACCCACATACATACAGACAGAGACAGACACACCAAAGGATGCCCCACGTACTCTCCCACCTTGACTTTGGTCGTCTTGATGCGCAGGAAGACGTCGTTCATCGTCTTGGCAAAGTATGCGTCAAGACACATCCTGGCAAAGCCAAGGAAGGTCTTCATGCACACGAACAGGCCGCCCTCGCTCTCCTGCGTCGTCATCATGATCAAACCACAAAGGCCGATGAGACAAGATGCCAACCGAAACGCACGTCGCCGTGTCCCATTTCATGTAGACAGACACACACACACACACACACAGACACACAGACACACACGCACACACGAACACACAGACACAGACACACGCACACGCACACACACACATACACACACACACATATTCGCACCGAGGTCTTGAAGGTGAGCACACACTCATCCTTGTAGATGCGTGTGGAGGCGTCCGGAACGCGCACAGCTTCAAAGCCCATCTTCGTGCTTGCGATTGGTCTTGGCTCCCGTTCGATTGTTCTCCTCTTGCTCTTGTCGATCAAACAGACAGTTCACAGTTGTTGCTTGCTTCTTTTCCAGGTGAAACTGAACGTCGACTGAATTCAGTTTCTGGAGGACAACAGTGACAACTGCAACGATGCTGCTGTGGAGTAGTCGCGTGCCAACAACACACATGGCGGTGGTCGTGGCGGTGGTGGCCATGGTGTGCATGGTGTGCATGCAAGGGGTTGGTGTTGCTGCGCAGCTGAACATCAACTTTGAGGCATGGCAGATGGAGAAGGACGGCACCCTCACGTTTCCAGAGAGGAGCCTCAAGCACGTCATGCAGCGCCCCAACGCAGTGAGTCATGTGCTGCTTTGTTGTTGTCGGCTGTCCTTGTTGACCAGCGTCGTTTGTTGTGTGTGTGTGTGTGTGTGTGTTTGTTTGTTGCTGTATCCGTGGAGCAGAACCAAAGGGTTGTGGCACAGTGGCAAGTTGATTCAATCGCGCACGTTCTTCTTGTTGTTGTTGTGAACGCCCATCTCAACACACACACATGCACATGCACACACGCACACACATGCACACACACATACATGCACACTGGCACACATGCACACTGGCGTGCGCGCGCGCACACACACACACACACACACACACACACACACACACACACACATTCCCTCATTCGCACACACACACACATTCCCTCATTCGCACACACTTGCTGGTTTTCAGGGCATTGCGTTCACTGGCGGCGGGACGCGGTCCTTCTTGGCCACCATCGGATACCTGGCGGGCCTGCACGAGGCGGGCCTGCTCCCCAACGTCCGCTACGTCTCCGGCGTCTCCGGTGGCGCGTGGGGCACCTGCGCGTACATGTACGCCAGCACCGCGCAGGGCAACGACACGCAGCTGCTCGGGCCCATCATGGAGCCGCAGCACATGACCATGAAGAACCTCAAGCACATTGACCCGGAGTGCGTGCGCGGCGGGCCTGTCAACAAGGACTTTGCCTGGCACGCCGTGGAGAACTTCTTCAACCCGCTCGTGCACGGCCGCGACGTGTGGTTCAAGTCGGTCAACGACGTCTACTTCAAGCCCTACGGTGTTCCCGACAACAAGTACCCTGCCGCCAGCACGGAGACGATCCAGCGCATCGTCGACCGCAACCCAGCGCTCACTGTCTCGGACTTTGCCCTGCCGCGCCCAAACCGCCCGTTCTGGATCGCGGGCATCTCGTACATTGGGCCGGAGAAGCTGTCGCCGTTCAAGGAGAGCAACCGCTCATACACCATCACGGAGGGCACCCCGCTGTACGTTGGCCAGCCGTACACGCGCGATGTCACCTACACTAGCTCAAAGGGCCACACGCAGACGCACACCGTGGGCGGGTACATGGACACGTTTGCCTTTGGCAGCGCGGCACCCTCCACGGGGCTGACGGGCGCCAACGGCACGCTGCACTCCACCACCATCGCCGACCGCAGCCTGTCGCCGGCTCGCATCGCCAGCATGAGCTCGTTTGCAGCCGGTGCGCTGCTGTCTGACCTGCCAAACTTTGCTGCGCGCGGGCTCGACCCCATCTTCAACACGTGGTCGCCGTCGCTGCCTGCGCCAGACACGGACGCTGTGGAGGGGTTGTATGGCGACGGAGGCAACACGGAGAACGTGCACCTGATTGGGCTGCTGCAGCGGCGCGTGCCAAACATCATCCTCTTCTTTAACAACATGCAGGCCCTCAACTCCACCTTTGACCCCATGCAGCGCAACGTGACGGAGACAGACATGACAGACGACCTGCCCACCTTCTTTGGCATCAACCCGGCTGCACATGACACCCCGCTCTGGGACATCCACCGCAACCAGGTGTTCCCCAAGAAGGACTTTGCGCGCGTGATCAAGGGCCTGACGGCTGCGCAGGTGGGCGGAAACGGAACATTCTTCCGCACGGAGCTGGAGACGGTCGAGAACAAGTGGTATGGCGTCAAAGCGGTACGTTCCCTTCAACAATGTTTTGTGTTTTGAGGAGGGGGGAGAAGCTGTGAGTGAATTTTTGTGTGTGTGTGTGTGTGTGTGTGTGTGTGTGTGTGTGTGTGTGTGTGTGTGTGCGTGCGTGTGTGTGTGTATGTGTGTGTATGTGTGTGTATGCATTTGTGTGAACGTAAACGTGCGTGTGTGTTTGATCGTTTGTCCACATTGGCATGTATGCACTCATGGAATCACTCTGTGTTCTCTCACCACGCCTGCCCATATCATCCTCCTACTCACCTCCGCCCACATCACCACCACCCAACCCTTGTTCACACGCGCCTGCAGGGCTTCCGTGCGAATGTGACGTGGGTGTACCTGTCGCGCACGCTGGAGTGGGAGCGCCGGCTGCCAGCGGACCTGCGCAAGGCCGTGCAGCCGAAGCATGGCGCAGACAACCCCACCAACCTGCCGGACAGCGGGCACTTCAAGAACTTCCCCAACATCAACACGTACCTGCAGCTGTACCCGAGCGCTGAGATGGCAAACATGATTGCAGACATGTGCGGCTGGGTCGTCAAGAACAACGTCGATGCCTTCAAGACGGCGCTTGGCATGTACTAAGAAGTGCATGGTGTGCGTGCGATGTGTTTGCATGTGTTTGTAGTGTGTGTGTTTGTAGTGTGTGTGTTTGTGTTTGTGTGTGTGTGTGTGTGTGTGTGTGTGTGTGTGTGTGTGTGTGTGTGTGTGTGTGTGTGTGTGTGTGTGTGTGTGTGTGTGTGTGTGTGTGTGTGTGTGTGTCTTTGCGCGGTGTGCGTGCGCGTGAGATGTGTGCGTCGTGTATGCGTGAGATGCGTGCGTGTGATGTCCGTGCCAAGACCACCACCTCGACCTCCCAACTCTTCGCTTCGGCCAAAGAAGAATGAATGAAATGAAATAATTTCGCCCCCAAACAACAACAGCGACAAACACAAACAAACAGCAATAACTTGGATGGCAACCAACAACCCTCGCTCGCATGCCTTGTGTTGTTGTGTGACCTTGCTTCCATCGTTCTCTGCGTGCCCTTGTTGTCGTTCTTGTGTCTCCCCACTTGAAGGAAGGCAGCAACGCCGCTCTGACTGTGTGTCACCTGTGGTCTGTGCGTGAATGTGGCAAGATCAGCACCACCACCAGCCGCAGATGCTGCGGTGCGTAGAAGCAGTTGGGATGTGACTGTTGTGCATCAACCATCACCACCACGACCATCACCGCCATCATCACACACCTTGTGCTTCTTGTGCAGCGACTTGTTGGCCGCTTGACCTGCTGGTCGTGGTACTGTATGTAGTCTTGAGGAACGAGCCACGGCTTCCATCACTCAACACTCATCATCGCACACCATACGCACCGCAATCTCTGTTCACACGAACACGTAACACACACACACACGCACACACTCAGGCATGGCCAGGTGGCGGCCGCCTTGCCGCCCCTGCACGGCGGCACCTCCCACCAGTCCCACCAACCGCTGCCGTCGTCACAGCGTGAGCCTGCATCGTCCTCCGTCCACCATGCCTCCAGCAACCAACCGCCAAAGCCTCCCGCATCCTTGCCATCTGTATCTGCTGGCAAGAGCATTGGCTTCGACCCCGCATTCCTGCCGCAACAGCAGGTGTACTTGCATGCTGCGTGTGTACGCGCGCGTGTGTGTATGTGTGCGTGTGCGTTGTGCGTGTGCGTTGTGTGTGTGTGTGTGTGTGTGTGTGTGTGTGTGTGTGTGTGTGTGTGTGTGTGTGTGTGTGTGTGTGTGTGTGTGTGTGTGTGCGTGTGTGTGTCGTGTGTTGCCGTGTGCATACAGCGAACTGAACGGAGGTGTTTCGCTCCATGGGCCATCTCACATCTGTTCATGTGTGTGTGTGTGCATTGTCTGTGCTTCCTGTCACCAGGAGTGGCAGCAACGTGCGGACCAGTCCATGCGTGCTTTGCTCGAGGAGACTGTGCGTCTCAGAGGTATGTATGTGTGTGTGTGTGTGTGTGTGCACGTATGATTGCCACTTGCGTTGCTTTGCAGCTCGTGAACCCGCGCATCCCAACATCCTTTTGCATGAACCACACTTACACACACACGCACACACCCACACACATACACACATACACACACACTACACTCACTACACAACACACTACACTTACACTACACACTACACTACACACACGCACAACCTGCACTGCCTCAGGGGACATGCGGGCGATGGCGCAGCAGCACGCGAGCGAGAAGCAGGAGATGCAACACGAGCTGGAGCGCATGCGTGAGGACGTGCGCCGGTGCCGATCAACGGTGATTGCGCTCGAGCAAGCAAGCGCATCCAGCAGCGACCGCCACACCCTGCAGGACACACACACGCAGGCCGCGCTGCAGCACTCGAGGACGGTGGAGACGAAGGTGAGCTCGATGCAGCAGGACACGATGCTGCGGTACAACGACCTGTCTGCAAAGGTGGAGCGATTGGCGCAGACGCTGCAGGCGGTGGCACAGGACCTCCAGTACACGAAGCAGAGCCAGGGCAAACACCACGAGGGCGTTGAGCAGTTGATTGACGGCGTGCGGGCGTCACTGCAGTCGCAGCTGTCGGACGTGCAGTCGAGGCAGACAGCAGGGCTGCACCGGTTGGAGAAGGTGTCGGGGGATGTGGACACGGTGGCCGAGTCACTGCAACGGCATTTGCAGCAGTGGAGCGATACATCTGCACACGTACAGGGAGAGGTGCAGCAGCTGCAGACGCAGGTGACGCTGCAGAAGAACCATGCACAGGACATGGACCAGCGACTGGTGGAGATGGAGTCGCGGTTGAAGAATCAGAGAGAAGACATTGTTGCCAGATTCACAACACAGGTAACCGAGGGAGGGAGGGAGAGAGAGAGAGAGAGAGAGAGAGAGAGAGAGAGAGAGAGAGAGAGAGAGAGAGAGAGAGAGAGAGAGAGAGAGAGAAAGAGGAGGGGTGTGTGCATACGTGTGTGTGTGTGTCCTTGTGATTGGCCAAGCGAACCAGGAATTGCTGTTGGTGTGCCACATTTACACACATTCACACACACACACACATTCACACACACATACACACACATGCACATATCATCATCACCATCGGCACCACATCCTCATGCCCACCATCGTGGTGTCACTGCTGTGATGAACCGCCGCCGCCGCCGCCAGGACGATGCGCTGCAGCAGGTGTCAGCGTCCACGAACGAAAGCATCGACTCCATCATCGCAGCTGTGCAGGAGTTGAAGACGCAGCACTCCACAGAGTCAAAGCAGATGGCTTCAAAGTGCGTTGTGGTACAGGCGTGCTTGTGCGTGGGAAGGTGGGAATGTGTGTGTTTGCTTGTGTAAGTGTGTGTGTGTGTGTGTGTGCACGTGGCATGTGCGCACATCAAATCGATGCTCACACCACCACCACACCACGGTCAATGATCACAATCACCACTGCGTTTGCTTTCTGCACAGCATCGGGCTCTCACGTGAAGGCATGATGAAGAAACTCGAGTCAACGCGACAGGAACTGGTGGAGGTGAGGTCGTGTCATACGCGTGTGCACATGCGCATACGCGCATACATGCATTCAGTGTTTCCGTGCGTGCATGCAGCAACATGGGATGAGTGAATGACTCTCTGCTGCATGTATGTGGCGCTTCAACTCACAACGTATCGTCATCTCAACCAACGCCACGTTGCACCACCACCGCACCCACAGATGCTGCAAACACAGCGGCTGCAGTTGACACAACAGCTCAATGCAGAGCGCCAACAGCGGTTGAGTTTTGAGCAGGACACGCGGGCCGGCATTGCCATCAAGCTCGCCTCTGTCGACGACGCCGTTCGCAATCGCATCTCAGAGCTCGAAGGTGCGTGCCTGTGTGCCTGTGTGCCTGTGTGCCTGTGTGCGTGTTTTGTGTGTGCGTGCGTGATTGCGTGTGTTGTGTGTGTGCGTGTGTGTGTGTGTGTGTGTGTGCCTGTGCGTGTGTGCGTGTGTGCGTGTGATTGTGATTGTGGGCAGTTGCTTCGTCGATGGGCTCGAACTCCGAACGAGCAAAAGCAATGCATGGGCCGTTGCTGCCCTCACCCTCACCCACTCCACGTGTTTCTGCTTGCGTACGATGTGTTGTTTGTTGCATCAGACATGGTGCAGCGCGCCAAATCGCAGGCGGCGGACGCGTTTAAGAAGTTTGAAACATCGCTGTCCATCGCCGATGCCGACGTGAAGAACAAACTCGATTCCGTGGAAAAGGTGCAGATCAATCGTGTGCATGTTGGCATGATTGCATGATTGCATGTTTGCGTGGACGCGCATGTTTGCACGTGTGCATGGGTATGAATGTGAATGTGAATGTGCTGTGCGTGCACATGAATGCATCTTGCTTGTTGTTGTTGTTGCTGTGCGTGCGTGTGTGTCGATATGCATGACAATTCATTCCCCCACCCCCTTTGGTTTCGTCAACTCACCCCCCTTGGTTTCCGTGGCCACTGTAGGTGTTGAAGGCGGAGATTGTGGCGCGGACACAGGCCACAACAAAGCTCAAATCAACAACGGACCAGCTCACCAAAGCCATCAAGGACTCCAACAGTGCGCAGTCAGCCGTCACAGACGAGGTGCTCATCAGCTTTTATGTTTGTGTGTGTGTGTGTGTGTGTGTGTGTGTGTGTGCTGTGCCATTCAGATCGCTTGCTGGTCCAGCGTCTCCATCGTTGCTTTGCATGCACATTCACATCACCGCATCGTGTGTTTGTTGCAGCTGTCGAAGAGTGTTCACGACCAAATGAAGCAGCTGAAGCTTTCAATCGAGACATCAACGGCGGGCTCGCACTCAAGCTTACAACGGTACGCAAACGCGCATGTAGACACACACACACATACACACACGTACGCGCACAATGTGGGTACCTACACATCCTTGACTCACGCTGTTGGTTTGTATGCCATTTGCCCACGGTGTACGTTCTGCCAGACGGGTGGATGATGTGGAGGTGCAGCTGAAGAGTTTACATGCACGTGAGGCAACACGTGTGGAGGCGAACCAGCGCACGGCCGCGTCCATCGCCACCATCGCCCCAAAGCGTACGCCACCTGTCATCACTCGTGCAAGCGAGCATGTGCTCCTATATATGTGTATATGCACGTGCGTGTGCGTGTGCGTGTGCGTGTGTGTTGTGTTGTGTTGTGTTGTATTGTGTGTGTGCTGTGTTGTGTTGTGTTGTGTTGTGTTGTGTGTGATGTGTATGTGTGTCAGCTTTGTTGTCGGGTTCACTGGTCGCTGGCTCCTGCTCCCGTGGCGCGCTCGAAATCTCACCTGTCCCTCCCATGATGCACCCATCTTGTCTCCGTCTTAATTTCACGGCCGTTCTTGTTCGCTGTTCAATTGCAGTGACTGCGATAGAGGAGGATTTGCACGGCGTGCGCGAGCGAACGTCCGATCAACTCGATGCTCAGCTCAAATACACAAAGGCGCAAATCGAGATCTTGCAGCGTGCCCTTGCACTCAAGCTTGACGTCACGGAGCATGACAAACACGTCAAGGTCTGGCATGACAGTGCATTCGTGTTTTGGGGAGCCACTGCGGTCGTGCTGTCTGCTGTGATTGATGTCCATGACTGCCTGCGTGTGTCACACCCCTCGACGTCATCCCCACGCTCCCGCGCCCCTACTCGCACTCACACGTACACCTGTGCGCGCGCACGTATGCACGCATGTTCACACAAACAGGAGGTTGGGCAGAAGCTCGGGGCAACAGACCACGTGCTGGCACAGACGGAGGACCGCATTGCGGATATGCAGCGGTCAATTGACAGCCAGGAAGCGCTCGTGAGCGAATCCCTCAACCACACGCAGTCCGTGCTGCAGGTTGAGCTGGAGAGCGTCTGGCGCGGGCTCAAGAACTTGCAGGAGGACACGCGCAACCTCGAGCGGCAACAGGTGGAGATGATGGTGATGTTGGTGGTGGCAGTGGTGATCATAATCATTGGCAGTGACTGTTTGTCACTCTGCGCTTGCGTCTTTAAGTTGCCCTTTCCCTTGGTCTGCTTGTTGCGATGTCCAATCACATACAACTCACACTTTTACCACACACACACACACACTCACACACACACACTCACACACACACACACACACACACACACACACACACACACACACACACACACAATTACGCCATCCTCTGCTGCTGCTGCTGCTGTTATGCGCGAAAAATTCAAGGGCGCGATGATGCTTGGCGTGTCGCAGAACCCGCAGGCCGCTGAGCGAGGGCAGTTGTCGCCGAAGCGCCAGCGAAACGAAGATGAGAGAGCGGAGAGGAGCGACAGCGACAGCGACAACGACGATGACGATGACGACGATGACGATGAGGAAGAGGAGGAAGAGGAGGAAGACGACAACGGGCAAGGCGATGTCATCATCAAAGGTGCGTCACGAACATACACACGTACATGTGTGCGTGTGTGAGTGGGCGTGTGTGTACATGCGTGAAACACAGGGCAATGGACGATGATCGAGTGCGTGTGCTCACACTCGCTTGCTTGCTCTGCGCAGTGCCTAGTCTTGAGCGAGACAAAACGCAGCTGTCACTTGGAGAGGAAGAGGAGGAGGAAGACGAAGAGGAGAGTGAAGAGGAGGAGGAAGAAGAGGAAGAAGAAGAAGAGGAGGAAGAGGAGGAAGAGGAGGAACAGGAGGACCAGGGGGAACAGGAGGACCAGGAGGACCAGGGGGAACAGGAGGAAGAGGAGGGGGAGGGTGCAGCGGAACACCAGCACGAGCACGATGAAGGGAGCGACGCGGAGAGCGGGCAGGAGGAAGAGGAAGATCGAGAAGAAGGACAAGAAGAAGAAGAAGAGGAGGAAGAAGAAGAAGAAGCTGGCACCACAGTAGAAGCGACATCACCACGACCAGAGAATGTGCAAGGGGGAAAGCGACCACGGCCTCCGAAAGTCGATCCATCAACGTCGAGCCAGTACTCGCGTCCCAACTTGAAGCCACCACAGGAAGCAAAGGCCAAACGTCAGAGCGCAAAAAAGCTTGCAAGCTCACCGCACATGACCACCATTCCCGAAAACGCATCACCATAACGGCTTGTGTACGCATGCACGTCATTGCGCGTGTTAATGTGTGATTTGGCATGATGATGATGATGATGATGATGATGATGATGATGATGATGATGATGATGATGATGATGATGATGATGATGTTACATGACTGATGATGTTACATGACTGATGATGTTACATGACTGTTGATGACCGGCTTGCTCAGCTGCGTCGTCATAACCTTTTCCCTTGTTCCTCTTCTTCCTCTGTGCACAACGTCTTTCCTTCCTCTGCATTTGACTGATGCTCTTCAAATGTACACAATAGCTTTGCATGCCACACCCTCTTGCGCGAGTTTCTTCATTACATGACATCATTCGTTGGCTTAGGTTGTTTTTGTTTGACATGAGTTGGCTTGTTGGGCTGGTGATGAATGACGACAAGAGACAAAAACACACAGAAAGGAAGAAAGAAAAGCACACACAGTGACGTTGATAGCCACGGCAGGCAAGCAAGGAAAGAGAAGAAACAAGATGCACAGCACAATGCGCGTTGCACGCAACCGTAACGACTTGCTTGGAAATGAAGTGAGACACAAGAACACGCGCAAACCACGGGAGCAGTGGCACGACAAACACCAACACCACTCAGCACAGCGTTGCACAGAGGTAAGAAGGACACCATGAAAATACACAACACAATGTCCGCACGCACGACGACAACAGATGCACAGCACAGTCAACATCAGCTAACACTGGTACCAATGCATCATCATCATCAGCAGCAGCATCATCATCATCATCACATCATCCATCAATCGACTGGCATCTTCTTGGCGGCTGCCCAGGCTGCAAACTCATCAAACAGGACAACACCGCCGTCATTCGAGTCCATCGCATCAAACTCCTTCTGTGCTTCGTCGTCGCTCAGGGACAGACCGAAGTGCGACAGCCCGCGCTTGAACTCACTCAAGTCAATCCTGTTGAAGCGAGAAGAGAGGGGAAGCGAGGCGGGTGAGTAATGACTGAGAGAAGTGAGATTTGGGGGGAAGGGGATAGGTTGGCTGGTGGAAGGTGATGTCATCGTTACAAACACACAGAGTGCACCGCGCGCAAATGCACAGACACAGACACAGACACAGACACATACACATACACAGACACGAACGACAATGCATACACGACGCACACGCGCAAAGAGACACTGACGCACCGCCTGTCGTTGTCTGTGTCGATGCCGTCAAAGGCAACAAAGAGTTTGTTGAAGTAGAAAATGTTGCGAAGCAGCGAAGCAAACTCCTCCTCGCGCACAAAATCATCGTCATCGCCATCCTGTGTGTGTGTGTGTGTGTGTGCGTGTGTGTGTGTGTGTGTGTGTGTGTGCGTGTGTGTGTGTGTGTGTGTGTGTGTGTGTGTGTGTGTGTGTGTGTGTGTGTGTGTGTGTGTGTGTGTGTGTGTGTGTGTGAGGAAGCGCCCGCCAAAGCCGCAATACACTGACAGAGTCCCACTCAAGCGAAACCATCAAACAATAGCAACTAAGATTGATGACACCGTACCTTTGCAAGCGTCTTCTTGTATGCGCGCATGAGTGCAGGCTTGCTGTTCAGCAGCGGATAACGCTCAACCACCCACCTGCAAAATGCACACGAACATAAAAGCAAATATGCATAGCAATCAATGAGAACAGCATGCAAACACGGGCAGACACAACTCAATGAAAAGAAGCGTGCAATCTTTCCCAGGCTACACGCCCACAAATGTACACATACATAAACCAAACACATGTACACAACCAAACGCACACGCAAACCAAACGCACACGCAAACCAAACGCACACACAAGCCAAGCACACACTCACTTGTCAATTTCCGCGAGCGAGACGATCTTGTTGTTGTTGAAGTCAATCTCCTTCCAGAAGTCGCCCGCCTTTCCGGCCTTGAGGTCCGCCATCAACTTGGTCTCCAGTTCATCAAACTTTTCCGTCGACACATCAGCATTTGTGTCGTGTTCGCTCTTCTTCCCACCGGCCTTCTTCTTCTTGCTGGAGTCCTTCCACTTCGCATCGTCGGCCTCAATGTCAAAGCCGAGCACAGAGGCAATGTAGTTGCAGAACTCCTTGAACAGAATCTGCCCGCCACCGTTCTGTCAACACGAAGCGAACAATGACAAACCAACACGCAAACACGACGCGAGCGACTTGTGAGCACATGTGTTGACGTTTCTCAGGGCGCAGATCGTGTGCACACAAGACACCACGTTCACCATGCACGTACACAGGACCACACGTGTGTGGCGCCATGCGTACCTTGTCTGCCTTTGCAAACTCCTTCTTTGCGTCCTCCTCGCTCATGCGGGAGCCAATCTTGGCCATTCCAAGGCGGAACTCGTCAAAGTTGACGCGCCTGTCGTCCTCCGTGTCGAGGTCGTCAAAGAGGGACCAGAGGTTCTCAAACAGGAACATGTTGCGGATCAGCGCTGCAAACTCGTCCCGCTCAACCCACGCGTCCTGGTCCCCGTCCTTCAGCGTCGTCTTCTGCTCAAAAAAGGTGGTGGGCGAGAAGGGGGAGGGATGAGGGTTGGGTTGAGGTGACAGGAGGAAAAGGAAAGCGTTACAGGCACACACGCGCACATGAATGCACAGGCACACACGCACACACGCGCGCACAAGCACCCTCGCTTAAATCATCGTACCTTGTAAGCGCGGAGGAGGGTAGGCTTGCTGAGGTTCCAGCCACGCTCAACGACCATCTTGTCAATCTCGGCCAGGCTGCATCCGCCGTTGCCGTTGAAATCGCACTGGTTCCACAGGTCCTCCAGGAACGCGCGGTCGTTGATCATCTTCAGCGCCTTCTGCTCAGCAGCGCCCGGCGCAACAGCGGCGACCACGTCCTCCTTTGTCAGGATTGACTCCCGTGGAGGGGGCGGTGTTGTATCTCTCTGCACACACACACATATGCCACACACACACACACACATGCACACATTGAGCGAGAGTAATACATGTGAAGACACCTTGGTGAGTTCACGTGTCATAAGTAGTGCATGGTATCCGATTGACACGTTTCCCTCAATGGGCGATACACAACCCATCAAAGAGCCCTGTGCAGACCAGCACCGCCGCCACCCATCACCCACCCCACAATACCCCCACCCCTCTCCCTCACTCGCTGCACCTTGCCACGGCGTTTCCCCTTGGTTGCGCGCGACGTCGATGAAGACGCCCCCGTCTCTTCTCCTTGCGGGAAGCGCGAGATCTGGCCCTGGTACTGGCGGGCCTTGTCGTACTCCCGGGCCTTTCGCAAGAGCACATGCACACGCACACGCACACACACACGCACACGCATACGCACATTCACACACACACACACATTCACGCACACGCACATTCACGCACACGCACATGCAGAGAGAAGCAATGACATCGTTGGTGAGGGCCATCACGTGCCAGGCGTGCAGCTTGCGGTAGGGTGTCCAGGCAGTACTCTCACACCCATTCACCCACTCACGCACTCTCTCTGCCTTCTGACTGTGATTGTGTGTTGAGGCGACGTACCCATGCGGACCGGTCGTAGAAGGGCTGCTTGGCGGTGATGCGCTTGAGGATGGCCTGGTTCTCGTGCGTGATACGCAGCAGCTCCTGCTGCCGCTTCGTCTTGTTCAGACTGCATGCAAAGCAAAGGCGGGCGAGGAACATGGTGAGGTTAAGTGCGTGCAACGGGGCATGGGAATAAAGTATGCACTGTCTGGCACAATGCGAAGCGAAACACAATCAGACAAGGGCGCAAACATGCGCACACACACACGCAAACACAAAAACACAAACACATCTGCAACTTCAGATTCAAGTGATGTGAGCTGACCTCTTGTGATCGTAGTCGTTGCGGTTGTCAACACGACCACGCGTGCGCATGATGTGCGACATCTTCTCCAAAAGGATGCGGTTGTCACGCTCCACGGTTGCAAGGCGCTCCTCCTCCATCTGAAACAACCCAAAACAACAATTGCCACACGGGCCATGGGGCGCGTGTCAGCTGGAGCATGAAATTTGGCACACGCGCGCATGCATGTGTGCCAACAAGCAGCGGCTGTTACAGCACCCTCCCCGTCTCAACAGCCAAACGGCCAGGCTGATGATCGTACTTGGAGCTTCTTGAGCTTGAGCTGGAGGTGCATGTACGTCTTTGGTGCGCGCGTGTCCACTGTGGGCTTGGCGTTGCGCAGCTACAAAAAAACACGTCATCGTGAAGACCATGGGAATTAGCGGGGGTGGGTGAGAACCGTGCTGTGTCGCTATCCATCTTGCCAACACCACCTTCCCGTCCACGCAACCATCAACAACACGACCACAAGCAAACACACTACAAGCAAACTCCCGCGCCAAAGAACACCCAACACAAAACATAGAGCCACACAAACAAACCTTCTTGCGGTGCAGGCCGTACGAGGAGTCATCCCAGCGCTTGGCGAGCATGCGGCTCGCTGCTGGCTTGATGGGCTGGTAAGCCCTGTGGTTTCCACTTGACATGGCGTGTGTGCCGTGCGATAGTGGTGAAGGGGTGGTATGCGCGAGAGAGAGGTGTGGGTGGTGATTGATGGCTGCTGCAGCGAGATGCGCGAAAATGGATGATGGACGGCTGTGCGGTGTTGCGGGGTTGCCAAGCGGAAGAATCTCCGATGATGTTCATAAATTTCCCTGTTCTTTTTGTGGTGTTGTGAACGGCATGTTTGGACGGACGCTTGTTGCTGCTGCTAAGCGCTGTGTGCGCAGCGTCGGTCGTGGTGGTGTGCAACATCACCACCACCATCACCGCCACCATCACCGCCACCATCACCACCACCACCGCCATGGCCAGCTGAGTGGCGCCACTGCTGCTGTGCTCTGCGCAGCATGGCAGCGAGGTGGAACAACGACGCCTTGCACTGTAAGCAAGCGGTTCTCTTCCACGGATACCCTCAAAATCTACACGCGCACAGGAGACAAAGGTCAGCTTGTGTGTGTGTGTCTGTGTGTGTTTGTTGATGTATTGGTTTGGTGTGTGTGTGTGTGTGTGTGTGTGTGTGTGTGTGTGTGTGCCATTGTTTCGTGTCGTTGGCCATGTTGCGCGCTTGCTTGTGTGATGTTGTGCGGCTGTTCGCTGTGGTGCCCACTGACTCGTGCCACTGCAACTGCACTTTGTTTCGTGCAGGAACATCGAGTCTGTTTACTGGAGAACGGCGCAGCAAGGGTGACGCCGTGTTTGAGGCCTTGGGCAGCATCGACGAGGTGTCCAGCTTCATCGGGTTAGAATGCCTTATGGTGTGTGTGTGTGTGTGTGTGTGTGTGTGTGTGTGTGTGTGTGTGTGTGTGTGCGTGTGGTTGCGGTCATGTACGTTCAGAGCCGTTGTCACGCCTCGTTCACCAAGAGGTTTTTTTTTTTCCTTTGCTTTCAGGTTGGCTATTGCCAAGATTGATAGTGATAACCTGGAAGACCTTCGAAGTCAGCTCTACGAGGTACCACGCGTCGCCGTTCATGGAGCCTGACCATCACGCTTCCTGTTGTCGCATGCACACACACACACTCTCTCTCTGTCGCACACGCACACTCACACTCACACTCACACTCACACACTGACTCACACTCACACTCACACACGCACACACACATTCACCCGCTCCCACAACACCAGATTCAGTGTATGCTGCAAGATGTTGGAGCACACGTCGCCACGCCTTTCCACGTCTGCCACGGAGGCGAGAATCGGTGTGTTGTGTGCATATCGCATGGCAGCGTCTCATTTTTGTGTGCATTGGCAGTTCCCGTCCCCTTGCTTGCCCCCGTTCCTCCTCCTCCTCCTCCTCCTCCTCCTCCTCCTCCTCCTCCTCCTCCTCCTCCTCCTCCTCCTCCTCCTCCTCCTCCTCCTCCTCCTCCTCCTGCTTTTCTTCTTCTTCCTCCTCACGTACCTGCGGTGCTGCTGTGCAGAGCGCACGAGTGTGCCTGCGTCGTACACGGAAGATCTTGAGGGGTGGATCGACGCCATGACGCAGACGCTGCCGCCGCTCAAGAACTTCATCCTCCCCGGCGGCACAGAGCTGGGCGCTGCCCTCCACTGCGCACGGACGGTACGCGCCCACGAGCACGCACGTGAATGATGGTGTGCGCATGCAAGATGTGAATGAGGGTGCAGGCAAGGCTTGTGTTCGTGTGCATGCACGCACTTTGTGTTCACATACGCATATGCACGCACACTAACCGTGTTGCCTGCAGGCATGCCGGCGGGCGGAGCGGCGCGTGGTTGAAGCAAATGCACACGATGAGATTTCAGAAACCGCCATGCAACTCATCAATAGGTATGCGCTGCTGTGCTCATTCGCATGCATGCATGCGTGTATGTGTATGTGTATGTATGTATGTGATGCTTGTGGTTTGTGGACGTGATGCTACAATCTCCCACACACGCACAACACACAAACACACACACACACGCACACACACGCACACACACACACACACCTCCGACCTCGTCTCAACATTCCATCCTCGCCCCGCCTTGCGCTACCCGTGCAACCCTACACCCCCCCCCCCTCTTCATTCAGGCTGAGCGACTACCTGTTCACAGCGGCGCGGCATGCGACGGCAACTGTGGGCGGCGAAGAGCTCGTGTATCTCAGCGCTACGAAACGCAGGGAGCGCTCTCTCACCCGCCGGACGGCCCAGCACCAGCAGCAGTAGGCACGGTGTGGGTTGTGGTGGTTGTGGTGGTTGTGGTTGAAGCTGGGGATGGGGATGTCAAGCAGTGGAGAGGGAGGACGAGAGCTGCTTGTGGGTGGTGTTGCGTGTGTTTATGCACGTGTTGCAATGTGTGCCGTCGCCATGATTTATTGGACGATAAAACATGGAGCTCCCTCGCATCTGAGCTGAGAGACGCCCGGCCGGCAGGCTGGTGGTGGGAGACTCTTGCAGGATCAAGATGACGCAGGCACGCACACACACACACACATAAAGATGTTCACGCACACGCCCAAACATCGTGCACAACGTGCACAAGGCACACTGCACCTCACACACACACACACACACACACACACACACACACACACACACACACACACACACACACACACACATGGTGGTATTGTCTACGGACAGACGTCCTATATTTGTTCTGGTTACAACCAGAATATAGTCTAAAAATAGTGGCTTTGTGCTTTAGCATGGAGTAATCTGAGGGCATAATTCGACAGGCGTGTGAGAAACTCACTATTCTAGTGCGGTGGGCGACTCGCTACCACTGAGGTGAATCTAACTCTGGGCGGTCTTCCCCTATGTGGAGAGAGCAGAAAACAGATGCACACCAATGTCCGCATTCTGTGTCCCTGGAAGTTACCAGACTCGCGTCCAGCCCCGGGCTAAGGCTGATGTGCGTACGGTTATGTGCGCACGGGTATTCACAGAAACCGCTACAAAAAATCGGCGTTGGACATCGGCAGCTGTATTTCTGATTTGTAGACATCATGATATCTGTAGACATGAATGTGGGAATTGATCACACCGTTGCAGTGTGCATACGGACGTATCAGTCCGTGGACCGCCGGAGACAATAAGCTACGCCCGTTACCTTTGAACGCTCTAAGACTATAAGCGCCCACCCGTAGGCACCACACACACACACACACACACACACACACACACACACACACACACACACACGAACATGTTCACGCACACGCACAACCACAACGTACACAACGCGCACAAAATACACTCCACCTCACACACACACACACTACAACACAGACTACAATTCATACACGACAAGACACTACAGCACGGGCATCACAACACCCAACACTGCAGCGGCGGCGACTGCGGATCACCAGATATAGTCGAGCTTCATGGCGCCGAAGACAAAGTCCTGGCCGTCCACGTGTACGACGCAGTTGCGTAACGCCGCCTTCCACACATTCTTCGAGTGGTTGATCTGGCAGCAGCCAGGGACGCAGAGGAGTGGCGTGAAGGCGGTAATGTGTGTGTGTGGGGGGGGGGGGGGGCGGTGGGAAGAGGAATGCAAGTGAATACAGTGTGGTGTGGCCGGCACATGCGCACAGACGTAGACACACACGCACGCACACACACACACACACACACATAATCGCACACACACACGCACACACATAATCGCGCGCACACACACACACACACACACACAATCGCACACGCACACACACACACACACACAATCGCACACGCACGCGCACACACATGCATGCATGCATGCACACAGTATACCCGCTCGTGCTGGCAGATAATGTGGTTTGGACGTGCGCCCATTTCCTCGTCATCATCATCATCATCATCCTCGTCATCGTCGTCGTCGTCGTCGTCGATGCTGACGCTCTCATCATTGCGAGAGGGTTGCTCCTGCTCCGCTGGTGCCGGTGGTTGGCCGCCCGTGCTTGCGGTGGACGTCTGCGTCTCTGGTGTGTCTCTGGGTTCACTGCCACTTGCGTCCGGCTGCTGCGGCTGTGGCTGTGGCTGCTCCTGTGCGGGTGTGGGCTGCCCACCATCGTTGCCATCATCATCGTCGTCATCGTCATCACCATCATCACCGGCACCATCCACTTGGTGCAGCCCCTGTGTCGCAACGATACACGCGATGAGTTGAACATGCCCCAAGAAGAAGGCGGAATGATGTTCGAAGAAGTGGACTGAGGCAACGAAGCCAAGTGACACGGACACAAGCACAAAACCATGTGCACACATACACAGGTGATCACACGCGCACACACACACACACACAATTACGTACACAGACGCACAAAGACACACAGACGCACAGACAGACACACATAGACACAGACTCACAGACACAGACACACACATGCACACACAGACAGACACGCACGCAAACGCAAACACACACACACACACACACACACACACACACACACACACACACCGTGTCGATGGTGCGCTGCTCGTAGAGGTTGGCCAGCCAGAGCTGGATAAACGTGACAAGACACGCGCATAGGGGGTGAGCTTCGACAGTAACGCTGATCACGAATCATGAATCACCACGCTCGGTAGCATGTCACAGTTACCACAGGGACCACAATGCACGCACACGTCAATGCGTACCGATCGCAGGTCCTCGAGCACTTGCTCGTCGGATCCTTCGTCCAGGAACGCGGCCTTGACGTTGGCAATCACTTGATCCACCACATCCAGATACACTTGCCGCTGCAATGTGGAAGGTGGAGGCGGAGAGCGGGTGGTGTGATATGTGAGGATGTGAGACGGGTGGAGATAACGTGGTGGTGTATTGCGCATATGCTCAACGCAAAAGCCCTTCTCTCACATGCTACACACACACACACACGCACACACACACACACACACACACACACACACACACACACACACACACACACACACACACACACACACACACACCGCCTCCTGCGCGGGCTTGGAGTGCTTGATCACCGCATCCATCACTTCCGCTTCCGTCGTCGCCACTGTTTATTTTTGTGCGCACACACACACACACACACAAACGAAGACAGTTGTTGTGCTGTGTTGTTGACAAAAGAGAGGAGTGGGGCGACAGTGGGGAAGCGATCGACAGGCACGCAGGCACCACAGAGGGAGAGAGAGAGAGAGAGACGCGGGCGCACGACGCGGACGCACCACAAGGGAGAGATGCCGGCGCAGCGGCGGCGCGCAGGAAGCGCAAGCTCCACGGGGAGCGGCAAGCACGGCAGTAGGCTTGCGTCGACTTCAAGCACGGGTCGTCGCACACCTCACACACAAACGTACGTACTGTCGAGCTTGTGTTCTGCTGCATGCATACATGAGTGCGTGCGTGTGCACGCTTGGCTCTCCGACATTGTGATGCTGCTCGCTGACCATGTGTCCTGTCTCGGTGTGCAGGAAGAAGCAAGGCACGCAACCCGTGACCATGCTGAAGGATCAGCCCACCTCAAAGAAGTGCGTCGTGTGCATGTCTTCAAATGCCCTGCGTGCTCTTATTCATACACACACATACTCTCTCTCTCACACACGCTTGTTCACATACACACACTCTCTCTTGCATGCACACACCTACATGCACATTCTCTCGCATGCACACACACACCCACACGCACATACGCGCACTCACGCACTGACGCGCACCATACACGCCATCTCCGCCTCTGTGTCTGTGGTTTGTGTGCTGCCTTTTGCAATCAGGTGGCGCAACTGGTGGATCAGAGGCATTCTGTCATGGACGATGATTGGCCTCTTCGCTGGCGTCGTTTACCTCGGCCCACTGGCTCTGGCAACTCTCGTGAGTGAGCATGACGCTGCTTTTTGAACGAACTGCTGCTGCTGCTGCTGCTGTTGTTGAGAGATTGCGCAGAGAAGTCATGACTTCCCCGCCCCCCAAACCAACGCGATACAAGAGTGCTTTGCTTGAAGGTCACCTTGCTCTGCCCTGCTGGTCACACACCACACCAGATCTTGGCGCTACAGCTGAAGGTGCTGCATGAGGTGATTTCGCTTGGGCACAAGACGTGGCCACGCGAGCTGCCGTGGTTCAGGTCGCTCAACTGGTACGTTGCACGCCCATTGCACCCATGTGCACTTGCTTTCTAAACAAAGAGGTATTGTGGCGGCCGATACTCCCCTATCACTGACATGCGTGTGTGTGCATGCATGTGCATGTGTGCAGGTACTTTGTGTTTGCGGCCAACGTGTTCTTCCTCAGCGAAAACTTTGAGCGCCATCTCTACGAAGAGTTTGCAGACGTGGTGCGTGTTGATTGTGTGTGTGTGCGTGTTGATTGTGTGTGTGTGTGTGTGTGTGTGTGTGTGTGTGTGTGCGTGTGTGCGTGTATGTGTATATTGCCCAAATCGCCTCCCTCCCTCCCTGTGCATCTGTGTTCAAGTACCAGTGCGTATTGTCTGTCGACATGCTTAAGTAATGCACACTGCCCTCAATGCTCACGTCACCTGACACCCCCCCCTCCCCCATCATGCCTCTACTTCACATCACGCGTGCAGCCGGTTGTGCTGATGCTGCTCACCCGGCATCGCTTCATCTCCTTCTGCCTCTACATTGCTGGTTGGCAAGCGCGTGTTCGATGGCACTCTTGTCAATGCTGCACCGCTGTTTACACTCTTCATGCCACAGTGTCAACCGTGTGAAGAAACATCGCTCACAGCACCAACACACCCGCTCACTCAAACACTCACTTACTCACTCACTTACTCACTTACTCACTCACACTCACACTCACACTCACTCAAACACTCACACTCACTCAAACACTCACACTCACACTCACTCAAACACTCACACCACCATGCGTGTGGCGACCTCCAGGCTTTGTGACGTTTGTGCTGAGCCTGAAGAAAGGGTTCTACATGTTCCAGTTTGTGCAGTTTGGATGGACGCACCTGTCACTGCTCATCGTCGCGTCTGCCGCCACACTTCTCATGCGCAGCATCTACGAGGGCCTCATCTGGTGTGCACCCGCTGCATTGTGCATGTGTGCTTTGTGTGTATGTATGTATGTATGTATGTATGTATGTATGTATGTATGTATGTATGTATGTTATGTATGTATGTATGTATGTATGTTATGTATGTATGTATGTATGTATGTAGGTATGTATGTATGTAGGTATGTATGTATGTATGTATGCTTCACATGTTTCGTGTGTGTGTGTGTGTGTGTGCGTGTTTGAGTTGCGTGTCGCCCGTTTCGCATGAGCATGCTTTCCCATCTCTCACGTGTGTTTTTCCGTGCAGGTTCCTGGTGCCGGTGTGCCTTGTCATCTGCAATGACATTATGGCGTACATGTTTGGCTTCTTCTTCGGCAAGACCCAGCTCATCTCCCTCTCCCCAAAGAAAACATGGGAGGTGTGTGCATTGTGATGTCTGCGTTTGTGTATGTACATTGTATTGTGTGTGTGTGTGTGTGTGTGTGTGTGTGTGTGTGTGTGTGTGTGTGTCGTGTGCATTGTGTGTGTGTGTGTGTGTGTGTGTTGTGCATTGTATATGCGTGTCTATCTGCTCAACGTGGTCTGTTTCCCCACACACCTTCTATCGCACCTTCTGTCATTATCTCAAAGGAGCTCACCACCCCACCTCCCCCCCCCGCCCGTCTCTGCCGTGCGCAACATCAGGGGTTTCTTGGCGCCTTTGCGTCGACGGTCGTGTTTGGCATCGTCTTCAGCTCCATCCTCTCTCGCTTTCCATTCTTCACCTGCCCGATGCAGGACCTCTCAACATACGGAGACGTGCGTAGGCTCTGTGTGTGGGTGTGGGTGTGTGCATGTGCTTGTCTGTGTGTGTGTCTATGTGTATGTATGTGTGTGTATGTGTGTGTCTATGTGGCTGTGTATGTATGTGTGTATGTGTCTGTGCGTATGTGTGTATGTGCCTGTGCGTATGAGTGTGTAGGTATATGAAAGCCCTCGTATGTGCTGCTGCGTTTTCCACGTCCCACAAGCTCCAACACCTCACACACCACCGTCACCTCCGTCGTCGTCAGGAGACCTGCGTTCCTCCAGACGCGTTTCATCCGCAGGAGTTTCCGCTGCCACGAACCATCGTGGACCTTCTCTCCCTGGTGCGGCACACACACATACACATACACACGCGTCATGTATATGTGTGAGTGTGTGTGTGCGCGCGTTTCATGTGTAGGTCTCCTTAACTCACCATCACTACACCATCACTACACCATCACTACACCCACCACGGCTTGTGTCCAGGTTGGGAGCAGCGCGACGACGGTGCTGCTGCGGCCTGCAGTGCTGCACACGGTTGCCCTGGCCGTGTTCGCCTCCCTCATCGCCCCCTTTGGCGGATTCTTCGCCTCGGGCCTCAAGCGCGCATTCAAGATCAAGGTGGTGCTTGTGGTGGTGGTGGTGGTGGTGGTGGGGTGTTCGCTCGCAGCACGCGTGAGGGCATGCATTCGTTCGTTCGTGTATGTGTGTATGTGTACGCGTGTGTCGATGCGCGTGCGTTGGCACTGTTTACACCACGTCATGGTTCCTCAATTCTCACCTTTCATCATCACCACCATCCATTACCACCTTTCACCATCGCCATCCACGACCATCAGGACTTTGACAATCTGATCCCCGGCCACGGCGGCGCCACAGACCGCTTTGACTGCCAGCTCATCATGGCATTCTTCTTCTTCGTCTACTACCAGACATTCATCAAGGTACACACACACACACATGACGTAGGGGGTTTGTGTGTCTGTGCGTCTGTGTGTGTGTCTGTGTGCGTCTGTGTGCGTGTGTCTGTGTCTGTGTGTCTCTGTGCTGTGTGTTGATTTGTGTGTTTGTGCATCCCCTGTCTATTGTGCGATGTGCAGATGGCTCTCTCCTGTCGTGCGTGTGTGGCGCTGCCTTCTGTTAGCGCTGTGTTGCGTGCCCACCTTGCACGGTCTCTCCCCCTCATCACCATCACCACCGTACGATGACTGTCATCCGTGCAGCCGTTCAACCTGGACCAGGTTCTCAACGCCATCTTCGCACTGCAGCCGGAGGCGCAGGTCACGGTACGAAGCCGTGCGCCGTGATCGTGGGCACGCGCTGATGTGGTGGACAACCTGGAGGGGGGAGGTGAAGTTGAGCATGGGCTTGGGCATTGATGATGTCGCACCCAGATCACTCTCACTCACTCACTCACTCACTCACTCACTCACTCACTCACTCACTCACTCACTCACTCACTCACTCACTCACTCACTCACTCACTCACTCACACACACTCACTCACTCACTCGCACACACACTCACCCTCGCTCACTCAGGTGTATGAGCGGCTGCAGCGGCATCTTCAGGCGCAGCATGCGATCTAATAGCTTTCCTTCCTCTCTGTTCCCTTCTTCACTTGCCCTGTGATGATACAACGCACGTACTGTCACACGTGCCCCCCCCCCAGTCCCCTCTTGCTTCCACTTCTGTTCCCCGTGCCGTTGCACCCATTCATCAATGACAGCAGCGGCAATAGAGAGACTGCACTGCATGTGCGAGAGCAAGCGTCATTCGCCACAACACAACACAAACACCCAGCCCACCAACGGGCACAACACCAAACCGGATCCGATGGCGCGGCGAATGTTGCCTGATGACAGTGATGAAGATGAGGATGTGGTTGGCAGTGGCGAGGAAGAGGAGGGAGCAAGAGAAGTTGAGGAGGAGGACGAGGAAGGAGAAGGGTGCGAGCACGGGCTGCGCGTGTGTGGGACAGGCGCGGAAACGCGATTGGATGAGGTGTTGGCAGTGGAGTGGAGCATGGAGGAGATGGAAGCGGCAGTCACGGCGCGGATAGAGGCCATCGCAGATGCACCGGACTCGCCTATGGCCCTGCCAGATACAAGCAGGCACCAGGCACCCATCTTCTACGCTGCAGACCGATGGACAGCGCGCATGCGGCAGTTGGACGACATGTCGCGCACGCTCTTGCTTATGGCGTGCTTGACAGCACCGCCAGCACCACAGGGCAAAGCCAGCGACAGAGAGCAGCGCGACCGCCAGCACAAGCTGCTGTCTGCGGTGTGCCGACACGAGGCGCGCCTCTTCGTGCACCGCACTGCGCTTGCCAGCCCTGCGCTCGCCCAACGCGCCCTACAACAGCAGCTGGACCTGGCCAGCTTCTCCGTGGTGCCGTCAGCAACAGCGGCAGCGGCAGCGGCAGCAGCGGCGGCGGCGGCTGAGGCTGCGGCAACAGTGCGTCCACTTCCGCGTCGCTCAGGGACATCGGCAACAACAGCCAAGACGACTGCATGCAGCGCAGCCGTTGCCGCCGCTCTCAAGCACCGACACTGCATGTGCACGGCGCCTGCGGTAGCACGAAACCACACGTGCCCGGCACGACTGGGTGTTCCGTTCGAAGTTGCGACCCATCTTCTTCGCCGCCGCGATCCGGCCATCATGCTCCATCGGGGGCAGTGCTTTGTCCCAGCAGAGCACGTCGCCTCTGTTGTTCACCGTCTCGCCAGCAGCGCTCTCACCGCCTCCGCTCAGCCTCTCTCATACCTCGTCAAGACCATCGAATACGGTGTGTGTGTGTGTGTGTGTGTGTGTGTGTGTGTGTGTGTGTGTGTGTGTGTGTGTGTGCGTGTGTGTGTGTGTGTGTGCGTGTGTGTGTGAACTGTGTGTGTGTGTGTGTGTGAACTGTGTGTGTGTGTGTGTCTCTCTGTGTGTGTATGTGTGAGTGTGTGTGTATCCTTGCATGACTGTGTGTATCCCTGCATCTGTGTCTGTGTCTGTGTCTGTGTGTACACATTGCGCTGGCCACAATAGACCCACGTGTCTTCTTTGTATCATCGCCAGATGCACATGAGCGGGCGCGCATGCTGCCGCTCCTCCGTCGCGTCGCCGTCGCCATCGAAGAAAACCTCGTCCCGCGTCCCGCAGAGCCGCTCAAGGACGCACCAGGTCAGCAGCCCACGTGTGCACGTGTGTGTGCCTGTGTGTCTGTGTGTCTGTGTGTGTGTGTCTGTCTGTCTACCTGACGCTCTGCTTGTCACAGGCGCGCGCTCTCCTGCTCACTCCCTCCCCCCCCCATCACATCCACCATTCCCTCCTCCGCTACATTCACAATCGCGACAACAGCGTGCAAGCTGAACCGGGTTGAGTTTGAGGCCAATGTGCACATGACGCCACCATGCATGCACCACCTGCTGACCAAACTTCGAACGACGCACCACCTCAAGCACCAGGACCGCTTACCGCTCATCCTCTTCCTCAAAGGTAAGTAAGTGCGCGCGTGCGTGTGCGAGCGTGCGTGCGTGTGCGTGCGTGCATGCGTGCGTGTGTGTGTGTGTGTATGTGTATGTGTATGTGTATGTGTGTATGTGTCTGTGTGTATGTGTCTGTCTGTCTGTGTGTGTGTGTGTCTATGTGTGTGCGTGTGCCTGCCTGCATCAGCGTTACCCTCGCTTGGTTTCCCTCACTGTGCCGACACATATATTCCCTTCGCCGCCCCAAACTGCCTACTTACCCTGGGTCAGGCGCTGGTCTGGCTGTGAAGGAGACGCAGGCGCTGCTGCTGCGGGAGTTTCGAAAGGCGATGAGCGCAGAGGTGCTGCGACGCAAGAAGTACGAGTACAGCATCAGGCACCTGTATGGGCTGGAGGGAAGCAGGATCGATAGGCAGCCCTTCGAGTGCACCAAGATGATGCAAGACTACCACTGCCCGTTCAAGCATCACGATGCGCGCGCACTGCACCACCTCCTACAGACCATTGCTCCCGGCCTCCCATCCCCCGCGTGGTGGGACATCAAAGCTGCAGCAAAACGCGGCCAGTACCAGGTGTGTGTGTGTGTGTGTGTCTGTGTGTCTGTGTGTGTGTGTCTGTGTGTCTGTGTGTGTGTGTGTGTGTGTGTGTGTGTGTGTGTGTCTGTCTGTCTGTCTGGGTCTGTGTCTGTGTCTGTGTGTCTGTTTGTCTGTCTGTCTGTTTGTTTTGCTCTCTCCCTCTCACGCGCTCACTCACTACATGGTGTATTGTCGCGCCAGTTCTCAACCATGCTCTCTGCCATCGGGCTGCATGTTGGTTTGCTTACAGGCAGCGTGCGGTCGCTTCTGCCGTGAACACATGCGCTGTCTTCGCGCAAGACGTGTTGCTGCCACTGATGCGAAGCGAGCAAAGCGCAGCATCACATATGACGACGATGGTGGTGACGATGCTGATACGGATGCTCAGGATGTTGTTGACAACAGCAGCGCGAATGGAGTTGAATCCCAGTTGGATTGCTCACAAGGTGATGGTCTGATTGTTATCCGTTGCCTGGCAGAGGCCAACGCTGCTGGTGACACGTCATGATGATGCAACTCGCTTGTGACACACACATACACACATACGCATATTTGTTTGCACGCTCACGTTCAGCCTTCACCACCACCACCTTTGTTGCCTGATGATGTGACCATTCCCACAGGATTTGCGAGTCCAAACGCATACTTCAGCACCATCATCGCCGCCACACACGCGCCCGACTGATGTGTGTGTGTATGTGTGTGTGTGTGTGTGTGTGTGTGTGTGTGTGTGTGTATGTGTGTGTGTGTGTGTGTGTGTGTGTGTGTGTGTGTGTGTGTATGTCGAGGCTGCCTGTAACATAGTTGCGAGGTTGCCGTTGAGGAGCGCAAATGGCCATAAATGCATTGTATGTGAAAACGAGAGCAGGCAAGGGCATAGCCACTCTCACGGTTGAAGGCACATTGTTAACACGCTTGGTCGGGTCAAGCAACACAAACACACACACACATGAACACACACACACACACACGCGCGCGCACATAACACACACACACATGAACACACCTGCACACACACAGCAGCCAGACAAAGAATGAACCCCGACTTCCGTGACATCAAGTGTGACAAATTCTCACGCAACCGCCACAACCGCCATCCAAAACCTTGTGCCATAACAACAGCTTCCACGTTCACGACAACGCAGACACTTCCCAACAAGCATTGCCTCAGCCACACCAACAACCACCGCCACCACGTGTACATCATAACATCAGGGACAAGCGGCGAGTTACTTCTTCTTGCCCTTCTTCCCAATGTGCTTGAGCACCCAGTCGAGCCCATCCTTGACGCCTTCACCGTTGAGAGCGCTGCACGGCTGTATCTGCCACGCACGGTCCCGGATCGTGTGCAGGTTCAGCCCAGTCGCAATCTGTACACGCGTGTTGGACGGGGGGGGGGGGTTGGGATGAAAAGAGAGAGGCAGGGTGAGTGAGGGAATGTGTGTGTGTGTGTGTGTGTGTGTGTGTGTGTGTGTGTGTGTGTGTGTGTGTGAGGGGGAAAGAGATGGATCAGCGATGCATGCAAGCACGTGGCCGAGGTGTTCCAGGCTGCTGCTTTGCAGTTTGATGATGATCATGTGTGCCTGTGTCTGTGTGCGCATGTGTGTGTCTGTGTGTCTGCTGTGTCTGTGTCTGTGTCTGTGTGTCTCAATGTCTCGCCGTGCTTCTGATTATACACACACACACACACACACGCCTGTGCTCGTACATCTGAGGCCTTTGCGGCGGTGGCCAGGTCCTGTTTGTTTGCGAAGATGAGAACAGGCACACCCTGCAGCTTCGCCTCCTCAAGCAGCTCAGCCAACTCCTGCACACGCACGCACACACACACACACACATGTGGGCCGCACAATGTCAGGGGTGGGAAGAAGCAGGGATGAGATGAGGAGGGATTACACAGTGTACAGTGTGTGTGTGTGTGTGTGTGCGTGCGTGCGTGATCACAAGAGGCAAAGCTGTGCAGAAAAAGAGAAAATACGCACTTACAGGTTCACACACACACACACTCTCTCTCTCTCACACACACACACACACACTCTCTCTCTCTCTCTCATACACACACTCTCTCACTCATACACACACACATGGATACACATGCAACGACGGAGAGCAACGCGTGCATGGTGTTCCACTTACGTCGCCCGTCTCCTCAAAGCGCTTCTGGTCGGCCGAGTCGATGACGTAAATCTGAACGCAGCAGAAATGGCAAAGTGAGGACACTAGGACGCTTCGCAACGAAAATCTTGCGCACGCAGACAGAGAGCGAGAGAGATATATACAAACACACACGCGTGCGCACACACAGATAGACAGAACGATACACATACGCACACACGCACACACTCACTCACAAGCACATATTGCACATATACACACACGCGCGCGCGCACACACATATGCACGCACCAGCACGTCGGTGTCGTCAAAGTAATGGTGCCAGTATTTCCTGATTTGCCGCTGACCGCCAATATCCCACATGTTGAGCTTGAATCCGCTCGACTGCACAGACTTGATGTTGAAGCCCTGACAGCGACCCCATGATAGCAAAAGCGTTGAGCGATGCGGTGCATTGTATCGCACAGGAGGGTTGTGCCAACAGAGTGGAGGGTTGTGCCACCAAATTTCAGCGTTGAAAGCAAGACATGACGTGCGTCAAAGCATGCATGCTAATGCACAAGCGCGCGTTGGTGCACTCCGGGTGACAAACGCACTTGGGTTGGGGTGATGTTCTTCAGGTCTTCATCTGCAAGCTTCTTCAGGATGGTGGTCTTTCCTGTGGAGTCAGGCACAACAACCCATCAGTGAGTGTGGAATACCAGGACACAGCGCGCGCGATGGATGGAGAAAACAGAGAATAGGGGACGAGAGGAGGGAAAGGGGACAGGGACAGAGAGAGACACAGAGACAGAGAGACAGACAGACAGAGAGACAGACAGAGACAGAGAGAGAGAGAGAACGAGGGACGTTGAAACACTCCACGAAAGCACAAGCGGATGCACACACACACACACACACACACACACACACACACACACACACACACACACACACACACACACACACACACACACACACACACACACACACACAGTCACGTACCTGCGTTGTCGAGTCCAAGAACAAGCATGCGCACCTCCTTCTGAGGGGCAGACTTGAACTTACGAAGCATAGACAAGAGACCCTGAAGCAATCACAGGACAGGCCAAGCGGGTGTGGGGGGGGGAGGCAACACAACACAACAACGCAGTGAGCAAGCAACAGAGTTGGTAGTCTTAATGACGCGGAAGAAACCACGCACGCACGCACGCACGCACGCACGGGATGGTGTTGTGGAACTGTTCACATTCCATCCACGCCAGAGGGAGACGTTTCTCAGAACACGGGCAAAGTAATGCAACCGCATCATGTGACATCCCTGTTCGACCTTGACAGACAGACAGCCACTCACACACACACACGCACACACACACACACACACACACTCTCTCTCTCTCTCTCTCTCTCATACACACGCACACAGACAGACAGACACACAGCCATTACAGGCAAACAGACACACACTCCGTCCACCATCACATCCCACACCCACCATGGCGACAAGTCTTCCTCTTCCTCCTCGTTTTGTTGTTGTTGGGTAAAATTGGCGTTGCCATTAGTGGTTATGGGTGTATTGCAATTTACCAACCAAGGACAGTTGGCAAAACAACATCCAAACGAGCTTCTGTTGCGAGGTGGTGGGTGGCCTTGTGATCGACACAAACAACCGCACACACAAACAACCGCACACACAAACAACCGCACACGCACACACACGCACACGCATACACACGCACACATAAACAAGAGCAAGCAGCCTGATTACGTTAGATGACAAAGTGCCACGCTGGTTTCATGTAGAGGTCGAAGGGCGTGACGTCGCCTTCCTCCGCCTCAATTGTCTGTGTGCTGCGCGTGATGGAGAACCCAATGCGCGTGATTGCAGACGCCTTGAGCGCCGGCGCATCCGGCAAGTGGCGCCCGCGCTGGTTTGCAGTAAAGTCGCTGAACCGCAGGCAATACGAGTCAAACTCCGTCGTGGGCCGGAAGTACGCCACATATGCGATGGTGCCCTCTGTGTTCCGAGTCCTGGCCTCGTTCCCAATGCTGCCGACGCTTGTGCGCGTGCGCCCCGATAACGGCTGTCGGCGTGTGCGTGCGCTGCTGCGTCTGCGGCCTGGCGTTCGCTGCAGCCGCGCCAGCTCCTGCTGCACCTCGCGCTGCTTCTGGCGCCGGTAAGCCTGCAGGTGGCTCTCGTCCACGTGCACGATGACGGCAAACACCAGGTTGAGAGCTGACGCGCGTGCAGTGAAGCACACACCCCAGGCCCGGGACGGAACGCTGTCCGCACCCAGTTCCTGCGTCACCTGGCAGAAGCCAACCAGCACGTGCCCATCGTCCCCATCGCCGCCAGCACCGCGACTACCAGCATATGGCGTGAACGCAGTCGCCGTCCCGTATGGCGGTATCTGCTGAACCTGCTGCTGCTGCTGCTGCTGCTGCTGCTGCTCCTTCTCGGGCTTGCCGACAACGCCGGAGTGCGTCGCAGTCGCATGGCCGTTCTGAGCACGGCCGTTTCGCGCGGCGTCGGCGTAGGTCCGTCGCGGCAACAGGGGTGTGGGCACGGGGTGGAACGTCATGTGCTGGGCGGACGACCAAGTCGGGGAGGACGGCTCAGCTGGCGACTCTGCAGACGAAGAAGTCGGAGAAAACGATGACGGGGAAGCTGGCGAGGACGAGGACAGCGGCGAGGACGGGGACGACACTGGCGAGAACGCTTCCGGCTGGTGTCGGGGCTGCCCAGAGCCTGTGTTGCCAAACGGCTGTGGTCGGGAGCTACGAATGGCCGCCAGGTTTCCATGCCAGTGCAACGTGGCCACGTCGAGGCGGTGGAAGCATGTGCTCTTTCCAACCAGGGGCCGCTCCGTGCCGTCTGAGATGCAGGTCAAGCGGTGTGACACGCGCACGGTTTTGGTGTGTAGGGCGCGAACCATGTTCGCCAGCATCCCCAACAACGTCAACAACATTGTGGGGGGGGAGGGGTCAATGAGTGTAGTTGTATGGATGAGGAGGGGAAGACGGGAAGACGGGAAGACGGGAAGACGGGAAGAGGGCTCCAAACACAACAGCAGGAGGCGTGCGAGCGTCTGTTCGTCGTGTTTGTTTGTTGTGTCTTGTTCTTGTTGCGTGTGTG